TGCATATGTATTCATGATGCCAATGAATTGATAACAATCAGGACTGCATCAGTAAATGAAGAGGTCAGAGAATAAGTTTTCTGTTTGCTATTTAGGATTTTACTAGGGATGTCTACACAGAATATTCTTTCTGGTCATTACAGCTACGTCCATTATATTTCTTAGTGTCTTTAGTTTTATTTGTACGTAAAACAAAATAGGCAGTAATATTCTTCCTTAATATATCAGTTTGACATAGTTTATCCACAGAGGGGAAAATTTCTTTTGTAGTTTAAAATATCCTCTTGCAATGATTGCTTATTCCTAATAGCATCATTTCTAGATTTAGGATTTTCCTGAAATAGGTAAATTAATATTTTATGGTTGAACTACCAGTTTGTTTCTAACGTGTGGGAAAGATTTACTCTTGAGAAGAGCATGTCCTCATGAAGGAACTTCATTTATCTGTCTATCTTGTCATCAAACTTCCAAAAATGTGGTATTAAGACTTTATCCTGCCCCGAAGAGTAACTCAACTGAAAACTGTTCTGTTGGGCAGCTGTGTATACAGGTAGCCCTCAACTTACGATCACAATTGAGCCTAAAATGTATGTTGCTAAGTGAAACATTTGTTAAGTGAATTTGCCCCATTCTTGCCACAGTTATTAAATGAGCCACTACAGTTGTTAAGTTAATAACACAGTTGTTAAGCTTCCTCATTGACTTGGCTTGTTTGAAGGTCACAAAAGATGATCATGTGATCCTGGGACACTTACAACCATTATAAATATGAATCAGTTGCCAAGACTTTAAATTTTGCTCACATGATCATGGGTTGAAAGTGGTTGAAACAGTGGTTGAAAGTGTGAAAAACAGTCATAAGTCAGTGCCGTTGTAACTTTGAACGGTCACTAAATGAACTGTTGTAACTCGAGGACTACCTGTAGTTTTTCTATGCTAGATCTTCTGCAACCTCTGGGATTAGATGACTAGGAGCATTATGCAGCCTTCTTTATTTGTTCTGTGGCCAATAGAGGCTGGTACTTTGGCTATCCAAGGTATGCATCTGTCTGCTTGCTTTTAGTCAAGAAGTATATATTGAGGAAAGTTAGCTGTTAATATGGGTCACAATGTAAAACAATTATGCTGCTTTCTTTCTCTCCCCCCCTTTCATATATACTATTATAGAACATAAAACAGTACAGAAAGAGAAGTACAGTATGAACTTTCCTTGACAGAATAGAATTCTGTGTTGGGTTTTTTTTTGCTGCAGAATTTACATAGAACTAGACCAGTATTTTTCAACTTTAGGAACTTCAAGATGTGTGGACTTCAGTTCCCAGAATTCCCAGCTGGCTGAGTTGAGAAATATTAAAGTAGACCTATGCTACGTCTACTATTTACCGTTGCCAAGAATTCAGCCAGTATTTAATTACTTTCTTCCTTTCAAAAACAAAAAGAAAAAGAATGTCGTTCTGCACAAAGGCAGCTCTCAAAATACTTTTATATGTGGGAGATCTTTTTTCATGCTGCTTGATATTTATTCCACCAATAGCTAATAGATAACAGTAGATAGTAACCACAGTGGTTTTTTTCTAAAAAAAAACCACCAAAGTTTAAAACAAAGCAAAACAAAACAAATGCATTAATTTTGCTACCAAGTCATTAATGATTTAATTGAATAATTTGTAATTGGGATAAAGAGAAGTAAATAATGCAAGGTTTATTCATACACACTTACACATGTCCATACACATAAACACATTTATTTATATATACATTTAAATATATGTGTCTGTGTGCCTTATGTTCATGTGTATGTGTAAATGAATATCAGGACATGAAAATACCTCAAAAGCCATATCAGCTTATTTTGGATTTTGAATTAGAACCTAGTTAGAGAACGTTCCTGTCCCAGTATAATTGCAGTGCATAATCACTAAAGGATAAATTGCATTATATAGTCTTTCAGATACAGACTTCAATTAATTTATATTTTTAACTTCTGTTAAAAGATTGATTTATTAGTGTTGTTCCTCTGTTTTTCATTTATCAGTGCATTTTCAACTGGAAAAACTATTATTTTTCTTTGTTTAAAAAGGAGAAACATTATATCATGTACTGTTGACATTTCGCTTGTCAATATATTATTTATATACAATATTAATTGGCATTCAGTTAGTTTTTTCCTTTTTAATTCTTTCATTTTCAGATTGCATTTCTCGGATTGACTTCACATGAAAGGGCTACTCTCCTGAAGCAGAGTAAATATTCCAAAAATCCTATTTCACTTAGGAAGACTCCATATAAGTAAGTCAATTTAGAAAGTATCACTATTCAATAACCATTTCTGCTTGAAGTAATCACAGTTGCTAAATTTGGCTTGCTTTAAAAAATATAATTGCTTTAAAATATGCAACCACCACTACTAAATCTATTCCCCCCCCCCCCCAAAAAAAAAACAATAAAGAGCTGTTGTGTATCTTGCATATAAATAATAAAGTGCTCAGGGCAATTGTTTGTAGATTGCGTTTAAGATGTTCTGGGTATGCAGAGGGGAATGAAGCAACATCTCCACATAATTATCAAATTATTCACTAATAAAAAGATGATTGGGGTGCACACACTTCCTTCAAATGTAATTTGTGCATGGAACCCTAGTTATTCTCTTACATGTCACTCATGTTCCTCTGTTTTCAGCTAAAATTCAAATTTAGATAGTTTGGTTGGTAGAAAGAAGGGCAAGATAGTTACTCTCTACATATTCTCAGAGTATATCTTTAACAATGCAGGTAGTTGCTTTAGTTTGGCAAGATTGGCATGAGCCTCAGCGGTGCAGTGGTTAGAGTGCAGTACTGCAGGCTACTTCTGCTGACTGCCAGCTGCTCACGGTTGACTCAGCCTTCCATTCTTCCAAGGTTGGTAAAATGAGGACCTAGATTATTGGGGGCAATATGCTGACTCTGTAAACCACTTAGAAAGGGCTGGAAAGCACTATGAAGCGGTATGTAAGTCTAAGTGCTATTGCTATTTCTATCTATAGGTAAGGAATAAAGGAAACTGCTTAGAAGTAACTCTGTAATGTTTCTTGGTTTTTGGAGCCTGACAAGGAATGATACCTGTCTTTCACAATTACCTGTAATTTAAAACCCATGTATAAAGTGAAACTCAGTTTGGCATTTTGAAGCAAACACTATATCTGTCATATACCTAGTTTCTTATTGTTGAGCTTCACTTTTTCTTGAGTTCTATGAATTCAGTGTCAGAATAGAAAGGTATGTCTTTTAAAAAGTGTTTTCCGTACTTTTGAACTCAAAACCTATTTCTAATTTGTTTCATAATTTCACAAAACTGCTTACTAAAAAAAAAAAGAGTATTTGGTAAAATATTGTAAATAGGAAATTCCCTCTTTGTCATGGCATTCTGGTAGGAAATCACCAAGCCACAAATGTAGTCTCAAATTCCAAGTGTGCCACTGATCCAAACAATGGGAAATGACTAGTATACATAGTACTTGTTTGAAAGCAATTGATTTGTAAACTTATCAATAGTTCTTGGATACTTCCATGATATTAAGATACTGTCAGCATAATTTTTTTTAAAAAAATAATATGAAGGTTATTTTCAGTCTGTGTGACTTTTCTTTCTTTTCTAGTCTTGGATTCTTCCAGAACATTGCCGACTTCTTTCAGTGTAGATGCTTTGGGATTCTCAAGCCCACCGTAATTGATTGGACTAAGCAGTACGCTTTAATGTTTAATTTGGCAAAAGATCGACACATTCATCCAGTGTGAAGACGAAAATCTGTAATCGACTATCTGGAATTTATTGGATGTTTTCAAAAAAGATATTTAGAATATTGTAAAGAATATTACGAATTATTTTGTTATTTGCTATGTGTCTGATTGCTATTCCAGAAAAAAAAAAATAAAGTTTACATGGTTAAACTGAAGCAAACTGGAAATGCAATGGCAACCATGGCTCGTGTATAATACTTTGAAATACTTGGATTTGGAAAAATACAGTTGTGAAATGTTAAGCTTCCTCAGCTGCAGAAAAGATTATTTTTAAATAAAGCAGGAAAATCTATCTCTGATTCATTTATCTCCATTCTTCAAAATTTAAACTCAGTAGAGAAAATAAAGATGATTTGAAATATCAAAATATGCTACTGTATGAAATTTAGTTTTTAATTCATAGGCAGTTATGATAATTCTCTGCTGATATATAGCTATATATTAGGACGATGCAGTGCTTAGATCAAATCCCCCAAAGTGATTTAGGAAAAAGACATAGCTGCTTTAAAGCAGTGCTTGCCAACCGATGGGCCGCAGCCCACTGGTGGTCTGTGAGAAAATTTTGGTGGGCTGCAGAGAAATGTCACCCCCAGAGCACCCCCCCAAAGCAATTAATCCAGGCTGCGCAGGAACACAAGTCTGCGCCGCCCACATGGCCTGCGGGAACTCTCCCCGCTCACTCACTCCTTACTTGGCAAACTTGCCTGCTAAGTTACTATTTTTCCTTTTTTTTCCCCCCGACCATTAGCTGTTCTGCTGTGCCGGGAGATTTAGATTAGCTGGAAAGCAGGAAACCATTGGATTTCTTGCTTTCTAGCTAATCTTTAGATTAGTACTGAAGCTTCTATTCAGTGCAGACTCAGGTAGCCAAGGGCAGAAAGATAGACCTCTGAATGAATCTGTGATTCTGTGAGCAACTCAATCTGCCTGCCTGCTTGCTTTGCCTGCTTTGGGGTAAAAGTTGCTCTTTTTTATAAAAAAAAAACTTCAATATTTACATAAATATAATATTAACATACAGGCCATGCCCAGCCAGTCATATGACAACCAAGCCACACCCACAAATTGGGCCATGCCCACAGAACCAGTTGTTAAGAAATTTGAATCCCACCCCTGCCTCTGTGTATGTGTGTGTGAGAGAGAGAGATTAGATCAGATCTCTCCCACCAACGTCAGCAAGCCACTGTCAGTCAAAATTCACATATTAAGTATGTTATCAATGCCTATATTTCATGTTCCATCTTCACTTGGTTGATGTTTCATATGATGTATGATAAAGACTAGGAATTGAGTTTTGCTTAATTAGCACAAGTGTAAAAACAGTGTCAGGTTATCTGTGCAATTATCTTGATAAAATAACCAGAATTTCGATTCAGAAACTACCAGTATTTATGAACAGTCCACCTCTCAATGTTCTGGAGTTCTATTGCTCAGGAATGAAATGCTATTTTTCCAAAATGATTTCCCACAATATAATATAACCACTGTGTAAGAAATTAAACTTTTAATGGTTACTTATTTAGATAGCCTAAATGAAATATCAACATGGCATCTTATTCCACCTTCTCAACTTGAGTGAGGCCACCAAATCCAATTCCTTTAGGGCCAAAATTCTTTGCGTAGCAAACTGTAAAACAAAGAAAATGATAGATTTAGCTATTCTCATAAGCCTGTCAACATAAAACACTAATCTTTCATAAAATCCAACTTTTCTATAAAACTTTGGAAACAGGACCATGTTGAAATATGCCTAAATGCATAAACCTAAATAACCATGTTGCTCCTTTATTTACCCTTGCCTCCATTTAGTCACTTCTCTACATGACTGGGTACTAGTTTATTATTTTTTTATTATTTATATTAAAAGTGCAGCATTTTAAAGCAGGCATAATAAGTTAGCACATTTTAAGTGCAGACAGGGCCACCAGATCTGCTCTACAAAAAATTAGATGACCACAAGAAGACAACGCATTGAGGAACTATATGTTTCACTTCCACCTGAATTTTTGTAGCTCTATTTTAAAAAAAAAACCATTTCAGCAAAGTGACATACGTTTTAAAGCAACTGTTTATCACACATGGAACATCATGGGTTGACTACATAATCATGTCATTTTTTGCTAGCATGATTACTAGCATGACCAAAAGCTTGTCAGCTGTGATACATACTATATACTACATTGTGATTTGCTTCACCATTATTTCTTGATCAGACCAAATTTGGTTGGGTTCATACAACCAATTAAGCCATAAACAAGGCACTGCCCTTTCTCAATTCATATTGAGGATCAAGCTAGTATTTGAGACATTACGTTGCTTAAGGAACATGGAGAAAGGTACAGTACTGAGATGGGAAAAAAGACAAAATGTTAATGAAGGAGAAGTTGGACCTGTATCTGCTGTTTTTACTCATAGTTCATATTTAGGGCAGTAAAATGCTTTGGAAATTTAAACATAATTCCAAACTAGCATTTTTTTAAAAAAAATTCTTCAAGTCAGTGTTGATTCCTTCACTTCAGTTTTCAGTTCTTGCCTTCTTCCTGGGACTGAGAATAGTGAATGACCAAAGGTCACCCAATTGACTTAGAGCCTAAGGCAGAACTAGAACTCATAATCCCCAGTTTCTAGCCTGATGTCTTAATCCCCTGACCAGACTGGCTCTTCATTGAATTTGCTATGAAAATGATGAATCTATCAGTGATGTATGGATGTATCCTTCACCACAATCTTTGGAAGAATCAAGTTTCATTAGATACTTCTTTGAAAAACTTTTTCGGTCTAAATCCAACATGCATAGTCTAAGTCAGGGGTGTCCAACCTTGGCAACTTTAAGACTTGTGGACTTCAACTCCCAGAATTCCTCAGCCAGCA